TATTCTGATATTTGTCTAATAGAGACTGAATATCAGTTTCACTTTGAATAGAATCAATGTCACTGTTCATTTTTCTCCAAGCAATCTTTTTCTTCCATTTTTAAATAGATTACTAAGATCCCATTCATTCGGTGGTCTATATGTTAGTATAGACTTCTTTTCTTTAATGTTTCTTAAAACTCTTTCTATTTCTAATAATTTATTGTCTTGGTTATTAGACTCGGACTGTTGTATATTTTGCTCTATTCTTAGAACAACTTCTTTTATTTCACTAACTATTGTTAGTATTTGTTGTACATTTCCTACGTCAGGACTTTTAGACATTTAATCCTAATTCTTTTTCAATTTGATTTACAAGTAAAATTACTTTACTTAAATGTTCCATTAATGGTTCAATTTTTGGAATTTTCTCGTCTAATTTTATTAAAGTTTCTTCTAACCTATTTACGTTTATTCTATTGATATTTTCAATAATTTTGTCAGCTTTTGCTGCTATATCAAGAATTTCTGATAGTAAAGTATCAAGAAATTTGATATTTCTGCTCGTTTTTTCAAGTCTTTCAAGAATTAATTCTTGATTATTTCGGATTTTTTCAATATTTTCCCAAAGAGGAGTATTATTTATTCTACTTATTTCTCAAATATTTGAAATTTGAGCTTTTTTAGCTTATTCTTGATGATTTTTGTTTTTGGTTAAGTGCTATAAAAGGGCAATAACACTTTTATTTTTATAAAATGGTTAGATTTCATTTTTATAAAAAGTAATGGTTATTTAAAGCTTTTGACATAAGAAAAAATAGTTTTAAGAGCAATTATGTACTTTTGCAAGCCAAAATGACTAGATTTTGATTTTTTGAAAAACATGACTAGATTTCATTTTTTATTTTATAAAAATGCTATAAAGCATCATCACTTAAAACAAAGTAGTTTGTAAATTTTGGGGGTAAGAGCATTAAGTAAATTGTCATTTCTAAGACTTTAAAAATAATTATAATAATAATTAATAATGATAACTTTGAAATCTACTACACCAAAATTATCTAAAACAATCATTACAATTAAATTAAACTTATCTTGAGTCCCTTTATCTAGTCAACCATATCTCCCTGCATGTTTAGTATCTCGTTAATAATCATTGCCAAAATGTCAAAATTATAATGATCCTCTCAATTATTTAGGTGAAAATCTCTGTTTGGGATTCAAAGTAAAGATAATTAGACTAACTTTTCAGTTTTTAATTGTAATTCAACTTTCAAGTCCATAATCTCACTATTTTGATTTTTTTAATGGTATATTATATGTTGGATTTTTTTTAATTAAATAGTATTGCAGTTTGTTGGGATATTAATCATGGGAGATTCTACGGTCTCGTTGCGGAACCATTTCGTCGGGATTTGTAACCGTTAGATAAACTATTCATGGCGGTTACATAATAATCTAACGGTTACAAACTTTAACGGAATCTGTAGCATTTTCCATTAATTATAATCATTTGGCCGAATATCCTATCATCATTTAACCTAAAAATGAGAAAGGGCTAAAAGTGATAATAGCTTGCTAAATTATTATAGAATTATATCCATTTTATCATTAAGGTGGGCACGAGATTGCAATAAGTTGATGAATAAAAATTGTCTTGTACACTTTAGAGAATCTTTTATGAATTAATATGCATTTGGATTGCTGCTGCTTTAATTGCAATATCAATTCACATGGCTTTTAATATATTAATATATACTTTGGGCCCAGCCCATTTACAATCAAAGTTGTGATATGTGAATTTCTTTTCTTTTTAAACATGGTTTTATTCTTGGTGAGACCACTCACTCTCCAAATGGGTTAG